TGAATAACTCCTCTAAAACTGACATTAATATAATAGCGGGAGATAAATATGAACATTTTATCGGATAGTGAATGTATTGAGGAATATAAAAACATTTTAAGTTATCATGGTTTCATATCATACGTTAATGAGTACACAAGATTACCAAGTAAAACATGTTTAGATCATTTTTGGGTCAAGAGTCGGTGGAGTACAGAAAGTAGTAACATAAAATCATTTATATTTAGGCAATACATTACCGATCACAATCCCATAGTGTTGACATTTAAAAATGAAACTCTTAATATTAAAGAACGCATTATGGATACTAAAACATTTATTTTAATTATAAAAAACTTAAGTTAGATTTAGATAGTAAATTGGGAAGAGATGGAAAAGGTTCATATCTAAACTAAAATATTATATAAATAAAAATACAAAAACAGTTTTCATAAAAAATCAAAGAATATATAAGAAAAAGTGGATAACAAATGGCTTATTAAAATCTATAAAAGAAAAAGAAAAACTTTACAAAAAAAACTTTGCGGTATCCAGAAAATGTTAAAATTAAAGAACGGTATAGACAATACAACAATAAATTGAATAACTTAATAAAGAAAGCAAAACGAACATATTTTTCCCGGCAAATTAATAACAATAAAAATACGTCTAAGGCTTTATGGGACTGTGTGAATGATATTTGTGGAAAACAGAGACATAAAACAAAAATTGATGAAATAAAATTAAATGATGGAACAAGGGTGACTGATAAGGATGACATTGCTAACCACTTTAATGATTATGTCAGCACTATAGTTAAAGTGTTGGCCAATAGAATGACAGCCTTACAATATTAAAAGGATAATTTAGACTTCATGAAAAACTCTATGTTTATGTCTCAAACTGACCACTTAGAAGTGTTAGAAATTATAAAGAATCTTAAAAACAAAAAATCGCCAGGTATTGATCAAATACGGGCAGAAACTATAAAGCAAATTGCTTTAGAAATTGTTCGTCCTTTAACTTTCTTAATAAATAAAAGTTAGTTTGGATAGTGGAAGTGTTCTGTGATAAAACCTCTGTACAAAAGTGGCAGTAAACTTGATATTGGTAATTATAGATCAGTGTCTCTTTTACCAAATTTTTCAAAGATTCTGGAAAAAATAATTAAAAAGAGACTATGCAGTTTTCTAAATAAGTTCAAAATACTATCGAATAATCAGTATGGATTTAGAGAGGTAAGATCTACTGATGATGCTATCTATAAATTACCCTCAACTATATATGATGCGTTAGATAAAAAAAAAACACCTATACTTAGTATATTTCTCGACCTATCAAAAGTCTTTGACACTGTTTGTCATTAAAAATTGTTGGAAAAAATGGAACAATATGGAATTCGTGGAAAAGCATTCAGTATCTTTGAAAGTTATCTGTCAAATAGAGAACAGTTGGTGCAAATTGACAAAGTTAATAGTAACAAACAGATCTTAACCTTTGGTGTCTCACAAGGTACTGTTTTTGGGCCTGTTCTTTTTACACTCTACATAAATAGCCTACTACACTTAGATACATCCGCTATAATTATTAGTTTTGCTGATGATACTGCTGTTCTGTACTCTTCATCTTGATGGAAGGACCTGAAACATAAAGTAGAAAGTGATTTTCCTAAAATTATCAGAAAACTAGATACTTACCATTTTTTTCTTATGCAAAAGGCCTTCCCACATTGGGTCCATTAAATGTAGGCTTGAATAACGAAGTTTGTGAATCTACATCAATTAAATATTTAGGGATTATTGTGAACAGGCATATGAAATGGGACATCCATTTAAAACAACTCATAAAAAAGTTAAGAGGGTTTTTACCAAAATTTAGATATCTATGTTACTTTCTAAACATACACTGCTTAAGGTATCTTTATTTTTCTTTAATACAATCCTTATTAGTATACGGCATCATTGGTTGGGGAGGTGTGTATGATGACACATTGAAATATGTTCATGTAATACAAAAATGGATTTTAAGAATAATTTACAAAAAAAATATTTTATACCCTAGTAACGCACTTTACGATGATTCTAATATATATGATATGAGAGCTATACTTTTTACAAATTCTAATATTTATGAAAAAAATCTAAAATTACCTTAGAACCTCATGACCATCCCTACAATACACGTCGACCTGAAGCTATTTTATTTCCGCGATCAGAAAAAAGTATCTGCCAAAGGTGTAGTGATTACCTGGCTCCTAGAATCTTTATGTTGGTACCTCAAGAAATAAAGGACATTCCGTTGTACAGTAGATACAAAAATAGACTAAAAATCTGGCTTCAAAAAGAACGTAAATTAGCAAGTGATGTTATGAATCAGTCAAATCAGTCTCAAAAGATGTATTTGCCTTTTTTTCCTATTTCGACTATACACGATAATAATTCATTGAAGACTATCATAATTATTTAAAAAAAAAACATTTTTTTTTTTTTAATTTCTATATTTACATTTATATTTTCATTATTATTTGTATACTAATTTATAGATATATTTTACATTTTATAATTTTTTAAGATTTTTCTAAATGTTTAAATGTTTTTTTTTTTTAATGTTTAAATTCATTTTCGTTCTTTCTTGTGTTTTATAGGGACATATACATAGACCCGTTTAATATTTCATTTACCTATCTTTAATCATGTGTTATGTATATGTACTTTATCATGTACAAGCAGTTTTAAACTGCTTCTGTGATTACCCCCTATTGTATATTCTCTTTTTTAATTGTATTTATATTGATGTATTATTATTTGAATAAACATTATTATTATTATTATTATTATTATTATTATTTTTTTAAATTTTCATGCCAAATTTCTATTTATACAATAAAAATGCAGACAATATCGGAATTTGAATATAAATTGGCAGTTGGTTTCAAAGACACGTAACGGTTCTCATTTCTGATCAGGGGGGTTATTCTCTAACTTTCAGCAGAAAAAGTATGGCCACGAAAGCTCCTAGCAAACTTCTCAACAAAGTTCGATCACCAAAACGACAAGCTTTTAATATTCGTAGAACAGAAGTAAAAGTTGGAAATGCTTTTGCCAGTTCTCCCACTTTATACACATAAATTGACAGGTTGGCAGCGGATCTCACCGAAGTGGACGCGATACATTGGCGTACAAAATTATTTTATAGATGTTAATAACAATTTCGAGTAAATAGTTTAATAAATTGTGAATAGCTGTTGAAATTTTGTAAAATTATAATTTGAATATTATAATACATATTTAATAATTATTTATAATCCATAAATACATGCGATTGTCCGGTTCCGCCGATAACAATTTAAAATTACTTATTCTATGAAACGACACTGGCAGGTAAACATTACTGTGAAATTCTCGGAGCCGCCCGACGTGGTTTGACGTTTACCCCCTCTCTATCTACCAAAAGACTTTTCAACTTTTACTTTCTCTATAAGTGATTTTCATTTTTGTCGTAAACTGCCATACTATAAATCGTACATGCTGGTTGGTCTGAATAACTAAGGTTAGGATTTGAAAGCCATTTTGACATTATTATAATGGGCCCGTTCACTTTCATTTTTGAATGTGAATTAATTATATATTTATAAAGATATTAAACTCTTTTGTCTGGTGGTACTTTTCCCGTTAAGATATTTTTGCTAGAAGTAAGGGAATTCCCATAAACTTCTTTCAGTGACTCATTGCGTCAGAAAATCCCTAATTCCGTTCACTTCTCGTATCGGTTATGCTTAAAGACGGCGGGGTTGTCGGAAGTATCCCTAATATAGCATTTCTGCATTTATATATATATGTAATTTAAATAGTAAAATTCCATTATTTTTCTAAAAATCATGAACTTATATTTTCAGATTTAAAGCTGGGAGCTTATTTTTTACTTTTTAATTAAAACAATTATTATTACTCAGGCTGAAAATTAACCAGACCATAATCAAGAAGTAGAAATTTGATTTGCAATATTTATCTGGTAAACGTGGCAACGTTGCATTTATTTCTAGAAGTGTGTGTAGACAACACTATTTAGAAGTACTTACAACGTTGTCACGTTTACCAGATACATTTTCTCAAATAAAATTTCGATCTGGTAATATTCAGCTTGAGTAATACTAATTGTTTTTATTAAAATTTAAAAAAGGTAGTGCTTCCAGCTTTATCTGAAAATATAAACACATTACTTTTAAAAAATAATATATTTTTATCATGTAAATTTCTTTAATAAATGCAGAAGAGGAATGGTGGTGCAATGATACATCCGACAACCGCGCCCTTTTAACTATTAACTGATACGAGACCTGAAGGGAATTAGGGGTTTTCTGACGCACTGAGTCACTGAAAGAATTTTATGGGAATTCCCTTACTTCTAACAAAAATATCTTAATGGGAAAAGTACTACCAGACAAAAGAGTTTAATATCTTTATAAATATATAAATAATTCACATTCAAAAATAAAAGTGAACGGGCCCATTCATTAATTATTAAACCTGGACACGGTAGTTTAAAAACAACTGGATAGGGCCTAAAAGCAAACTCTATTAGAATATATTGAGGCCAATGCCAACATTATAACGATCCTAAAACATAATAAATAGCATAAATTTGCTGACTTTTTAATATTAAGTCATAATATTTAGGTCCATATTTTAATGTTTGACTTATCTATGTCCGCAAATCTTAGCCTTAAATGTCAAAACTTGAAGTGCGAACAGCAAAAAGCTACTCATATGTAACTTTTTTACGTTTTTCAGATACGAAGAGCACACCATGTAGAAAATAACAAAACGTTTGTTCTTTACACTTTTGTTAGTTGTTTGTCGCGTTTCTATAGAGACTCGCTGAGTGCTTTCAAAAACGTTGGTTAGAGAATAAGGCTAAAACAAGTCCGTTTTCAACTGCCGCCTTAATTAATGGCATAAATATAATATAATGCTTCTTTTTTACGAATTATACCATATTATTTTCGTTTTGTTTTGTTTCAGGTCAAAGATATCTGCAATGAGCTGGAGGTGCGATCTTTGTGCCACAAAATTCTCCAGAACGTGTGTATGCTCCTTAACGCCGATCGAGGCTCGTTATTTCTGGTCGAAGGCGACAAAGGTAACGAAGGATGCGCCATCAGTTCAGGTCACGGTAATCGGGATAGGTGTTTGGTGTCAAAATTGTTCGACGTCTGCTCCAAAAGTACCATTGGCGAGATCGAAAAGAAAGAGGAAATCAAAATTCCTTTGGGTACTGGGATAGTTGGATACGTCGCTGAAAGTGGAGAGCCTGTTAATATTCCGGACGCCTACCAGGTAATATTTTACGAAATTGAATTAATACTTTAGGTTTTTGTATCCTGACCATAATTCGTTATATTAGACCAGTCATTTAGAGGAAAAGACAAAATAAAATTTGTGAACAACTGGACTTTGATAAGTTAGAATAAATGGTAGAAGGGTTTGTAATAAGTAAAAAAATGCTACCTGGAGGGGAGTGTTGGTGTTGAAGTAAAGTTTTAGGGGATTGAAAAGGGGTAAAAATGGCATTATTCCTTTTCAAAAGTATCATTTTTTGCCAAATAACTTTGAGTTACAAAATTCCACCGTCAATGATGTGCACTACATTTTCGGCAGTTGGTAAAGCTTGTGCTAGAGATTCATTGTTGCTATTGTCGTTTTTTGTTTTTATCCATTTTTAATCATGTTTTTAATCGTGGCTGTATTTTTTTTATTTTATCAAAAACTACGTGTCAAAACGAAAAAAATGATTTATTTAAAAAGAATTGTTTTGAACCGAAAAAAATTAATATCTTGAAATTTTAAGATTTTTTTAATAAAAACAAAAATTGTTCTTATTTAAGACATACAAAAGTATAATTTCACCAAATTTCATCATTATAATTATTTTTGGAGAAAAAAGTTAAAAAGTGATTTCTATAATAGCGGTATATTTTTGGTTGATCTAGGTACAACTTTTTCATTATAAATTTTTGTTTTTGATGTCAACTTTCGCCGGAAATGGCGATAATACCATTTTTACCTTCATTTCAACCCCCTAAAACTTAACTCGCTCAGGTTGCATTTTTTGTTTATTTATTGTAAGTCCCTCTACCATTTACACTTATCAAAATCCAGTTAACAATTTTTCCTCAAAAGTTTAATTTGATTGGACTATATCAATAAGTTATCTTAATACGCTAGTTCAGTGTGATATCATTTTGGTTCCACTGACATTTAATTCTAACCAAACTTTTAACAAAAACATCAATAAATTTGACATATACGTTCTTACTGTTTTTAGTTTATTTCTAAATATTGTTTACAGGTCATAAAAATAGTTGAAAGGTATGTAAATTGGTAACTAAACGATCGTATATTTGATGCATGTTATCTACTTACTTTAGGAATATATTTATACAAGTGAAAAAACGATATAATTTAGGTAAACACAACGAACAAAACGCACTCAAAAAATCTACTGTCACTTTAATTGTCAGTGGAACCATAATTACATCATCACTGAACCAGCGCATGGGTTTCATTGAAATATCACAGAAATAAAGTCTTTAGTGCAGTGGCGTAACTAGAACTTGGCTTTGAGGGGGGCGGGTGGATCAAATCGAATAGCACACTACACCGGGTAATAATATACGAATGTTTGCTTTAAAACATGAATGTATTTAAGAAAAACATGGATAAATTTAACATTTGTTACAGAAAGTTACAAGTCTTTTAGATAGGCCAAATTAAAACTAAAACATTTAATTACTGTATTTCTAACAAGTAAGAGTGTTTTGATACGAATATTTTTTATTTTTAGAGCACCGCGTCATATTTCTTACATGAAACCATTTTGACTTCTTATTCTTTTTCACACATCCTATTAATTGACTTACGACGGGATGGTTTATACCTACTAATTAAATAAATATACTGTTTTGAACATGAACATTTGTTTACTAACCAAAGCCGCATATTTTAACACCATTATATTTTAATGGCATTTCGTTATCCATAAGCGAAATATGATAAAATTAATTGCCATTACGTGATAGTCGTTCTAAACCTAACTGCGTTTTTCCCAATTACCTGTCATGTCAACTATGTATTACTATTAAATAATAATATTGTCCCGGTCGGTATGGGAGGTCCCGTAAGCGTTTACGGTTCGCCTTATTATTGTTTTTGTTGTTTTCTATTTGGTTTGATGGTCGTAACGGTTTCCATACCGAAACGACAGCAATAAAAGTCTCCCGATGGCTGTAAGTGTCAATTTTAATGGCCGCACTGCCATTTCTCACACTTTGGGATTTTTCTTATTATTCTTATTAAACAGTGTCACGACTTATACGCTTTCGAAACGTCTCTATTTTTGTTGGATAATCGTCTGATACTACAGGTGACACTTTTATCTCAAGTACTGAAAAAAGAAAACAATAATTCTATAAATATTATATATGAAGCCCTAGATCTGATAATTGTGTGACGCCGTATGATATGTTTCTATGCTTTGAACATTAGTTTATAATATAAAAAAATGTGTAGAAAAATACATTAAGGCCGTGCAAAGGAAGTGAGAAGTCTAAACAAATCCTCTTAAAAAGAGACAACAAAATACTACTCTTCAGGTGTCAGTCGCATCACCGAGTAAAAAAGAATTCTTCTAAACTCGCAGATATGGGCTCAGCTACATTATATTTCAAAGACGTGAATATTCAGTTGAATATAATAAAGCTGGGCATGAAAACAGTTATAATTTCCATAACTCCTACCTAGTAAATAATTATTTGGTTTAGTCGCGTTTGACTAAAATTTTTGTTCTATATCAATATTTTTGGATCGATAAATACCTATTAATCAATTAACAAATACCATATTTTCCTCACCTCTAGTAAGGAGGTGCCTGAAATCGATTAGTGTATCAGAAAGGTTTTTCTTCATGGGTATTTTTATTTTACTGAAAATTTTTCTGAAATTTGTAAATAATATACATACATTTGATTATCCTATGTTTAATGTTTAACTTTTTATGCTTATATGCTAAAGAAGACTATAGAACGAAAAATTAGGTCATTGCGTTCTACTGAACAAATATAATTTCATATCCATTCTAGTAAGAATGACAGACATGTAATCCACCAATCTGTAGGCTGGCTCACGATCTAGGAGGTGCCTATAATCTTAGGAGGATGCACAATGGACCTAGTAATGTCTAAGTGCCGTGGGGATAACCCACCCTCCACACGTTACAGATACAGAGAGAGAGAGAGATGTAATCCACCAATTACAACTCATATTTGGTATTATTTTTTTAAATTTTAAGTAAGTGACATTTCGGTCAAACTAATTATCAGTATATTTTTTAGTTATTAAGATTAAATATAATTAAAAATGCGTGATTCCTGAGAAGAATCGATAAATAATAGCATTCCACAAGACATTCGTCTATACATATTTACAAATAAATTGTAAATTTGAATAAAACTAACTAACTAACTAACTAATTTAATTATCAGTATTAAAATAGTAGTTTGTGCAACAAGAGTGGATATGATTGCCAATCCACTCGAATTGTACAGTATATTTTTTCTACGACCCACTAACAAAAATTTACAAATAAAAAAATTATTTTAGGTTATTAAGACAAAATAACTAATTTTAAAATGATTTATGTCTTTTAATAATTTTTAAAACAAAATAAACGAAAAGAAAAAAGTTCATTTAATTTTTCCCCATCCGAGAATCGAACTCTTCCGTGTGGAAGGCAAGAACGCTAACCACAGGACCATCTATTCTTTTAATTCTGTTGCTTTAATACTCGTAATTAAATTGACTTCATATAGTTTTATTTAAATTAACAAAATATTTACAATTATAGACGAAATAAAAACAGAAATTCTATTATTTATCGATTCTACACAAGAATGACCCATTTTAATGTATGTTTAATCTCAATAACTAAAAACTATACTGACAATTAGTTTGACAGAATTGTCACTTATTTAAAATTTTAAAAATAATAGTCATTGGTGGGTTTCATTTTTTTCAGTGTTCTCACAACCTAGAATGGATATGAAATATATTCGTTCAGTTGAACTTTTTCGTTTTGTAAACTGTGCGTAGATAAGCTAATATCCATGTGGGTCTAGAAAAAATATATTGGATAGTCGTATTAGCGCAGAGGTAAAATACGGAGTCCCCATGCAATAAAAAATTTGGAATTCAAATCCAAGATGAAGAGTAATTAAAATATTTTTTCTACGCCCACATGGATATTAGCTTATCTACGCACATACTACAAAACGAAAAAGTATGCTATTCGTCCAACCGAACGAATATATTTCATATCCATTCTAGGTAGTGAGAACACTGCAAAAAATTAAATCCACCAATTACAGTTCATATTTTGGTGAGGTCAGCGCGCTTGCATTCCATGTGGAAGGTCCGAGTTCGAATCTCGAAATGGGAACAAATTAAATCTTTTTTCTTGTTTATTTTGTTTTATAAATGGGTAAAAGTCATAAAATATTTTTATCTTAATAACCTAAAATAATTTTTAATATTTGTAGATTTTCATTAGTGGGTTGTAGAAAATATATAATATACAACTCGAGTGCATTGTCCATATATGGTTAGTTAATCCTAATAATCTCTAAATTTAATTTAAAATTTTTCGTTAGTGGATCGTAGAAAAACTATACTGAACAACTTGAATGGATTTTCCGATACGCACTCAGACGATTAAGCACTCCGCCTATCAAAGTTCGAGATAAATTTTTTTAATAAAACTGACTAAAATCAATTAAATTATAAATTTAAGGTGGATCGTAACAGTTTGAGTCTTTAGTTCCCATCAGGTTTAAATACCGGACGGGGCTATTTTTTAAGTTTATTGGCGAGGCCATTTTTTTAAGTTTATTTTATAAATTAAACGAAATCGTAAATTCAAATATTTGTATTAATTATTCTTTTAAATATTTATTTTATTTTAATAATTTTTAGATTAAATTTTATTGTTTTATTTGTCCGTATCTCCCTTAAACTATTAAGCACTCCACCTACGGTCTCGTTCACAAACTCCTTCGTGCGATTTGACCTCATATCCACTCTTGATGCACAATAGTAGTTTCTGCAACAAGAGTGGATTCGACAATCCACTCGAGTTGTACAGTATATGTTTTCTACAGCCTAGTAACGAAAATCTGCAATTTTTAAAAATTACTTTAGGTTATTAAAACGAAATAACCAATTTTAAAATAATTTATGACTTTCACTAATTTATAACATAAAATAGGCATAAAAAAAGATTTAAT